GATCGCTCTCACCATCCTCTCGTGCCTAGCTTCACATTCGTCACGCCCTGGACAGCTATGACGCCGTGCATGGCATTCTGACATGCCCATCTGTGCCATCTGCAGCAGCTGGAATGCTGTGGCCCGTCAGTGCACCGCTGCTTTCGCGACTGTGCTGGTCCCCACGTCATGCATCTGACGGGTCTAGACTCGAGCCTCAGACCCGCACCCATTCAACACATGACCCTCTGCATCGTCGCAACCTTGAACCTAAACTTCGAGAAGCCCAAGACTTTGGAATCGTGGACTTGGTTTCTTCTAGCTTGTAATTTTCTTCCAGGCACACACTAATAGATGCTTCTTTCCGCCGTGTGCTGATCTGTATTGGTCGCCCCTTTCTTACGATGGTACCCTCCGTTCAGTTCACATTACGCGAATACCGCCAAGTCTTCCCTACTCTTTACCACCTGCTACCCATCTCATCGTTAACCGCGAGAGACGAGATAATCGTACAGGACGACTTCTCGGCTGCTTCTCGGCACCCCCCAACCATGGGTGAGCTTGTTGTGCCATTCCCACGTGCGCGCACCGTTCCGCGTCCGGGCCCGGGCCGACCTGATGTTTTCGAGTCATAGTCACGTGACCGTCTATCATTCTCTCCAGGCACCGTGGCCGCACCCGTACGACCCACTATTGTACCTGCCATAGCAGCCGCGCAAACGGTATCATCAAGGTTTGAAACGCATGCAGTCCATCTTCCTCGTCGTCGGACTTGTCTTGTACTCATTCAAAGCATTCCGTTGGCATCGAGAAGCCTTGCCGTTTTCGCCTGCTACCACCCGCGTTTGCGACGACAATTTCAAAACATGCGCGGCGGTGCAACATGGTTGAGGTCATCGCATCTCCGAGTGACATCATGCAGCATGCGACACTTCGTGTTCGCAGATATCGTGGCACGATGGGGGCACAAGTCGTCTCGGCTGCAACTGCCTCGGAATTTAGCCACCGTGGCAGGGCATTAATGGCGCATGCGTCGCCAATCCCAGCCACACCACGCTGTGCCATCCACGCCTATCAATAACGATTCCTTGCTTCCGTAATCGAGCAGAAATTTACACTGTTGAAGTTGAGTACTGCGATCAGATCAGAAAAGAAAGAACAGGAACACCGAGATCAATCAAAACTGTCCTCGACTGGTCGTCGCACGAGATCAATGAGCACATCTCCACGACCCGACACTGAACGCGCAGCGAAGCGGCCCTCATATATCCACGCCAAGCTTCACTAATAGAACTCTTGCAAACCATGGAGCTCCGGCTAGCCGCCAGACGTATCAGGCCGGTTCATCACCCCACTTTTCCTGCCCGCCTGTCAGTAGAGTGGTCAGCTTCGACATGCCCCTCCACTCGAAGCCGTGCTGCTTCCCCTCATGCCATCTCCATCTGGCCAAGCATGTACAGCATGAGTGATTTGCTCAAAGACAACTGGGGCAATGCGCTCCGGGGCTGCTGTGAGATGCCCCGCTGGCAACGGACTGTGCACAGATCCATTTGCTTTAAAGTCCTGTCGCGCCCCGCGCATACTATCAGCTCCATACTTGCTTCTCTCTGTGCTTCCTGCTACCCCACATACTGTTTTCTTAGATATACCCACCAGACAAATACACAATTGCCAGGTAACAAACCACCATGGATTTCCTCAAGAAGAAGATGAAGGAGCTCATGGATGACGACGACAAGAAGCCGGCCGGTGAGTAACTCTATAACAAACAAAGGGACCAAGTACTTATTTGGATAGACTCTCATGCTGCACCCGGTGGTGCTGGCCCTGGTGATCGCGCGCTTTCTGATAGCTACTATGGAGGTGGACAAGGCGGCCCTCCCCAAGACCAAGGCTACCCGCCCCAGGGACAAGGTTACCCGCCTCAGGGTCCTCCTCAGGGTCAAGGATATCCACCCCAAGGATATCCGCCTCAAGGTCAAGGTTACCCACCTCAGGGCTACCCACAACAGCAGCCTTATGGCGGCGCCCCCACACCCACAGGTCCACCAGCGCCGTACGGAGCGCCTCCGCCGATGCCACCGGGCTGGACTCAGCAATGGGACCAGAACAGCCAACGATGGTTCTACATTGAGCAAGCAACTGGTCGCACTCAATGGGACCCTCCCTCGCATATGCCACCTGGCCCATATGCACCACCCGCAGCAGGCGCACCCTACATGCCGCCAGCCGGTCATGACGAGCGCGGCCTGTTCGGCAACACCCACGGCCACCAGGGACACGACTACACGCAGTCTGGAGCTGCCACGAACGAGGCCGAGAAGAAGAAGGGCCATTCTGGTGCCATGCTCGCCGCCGCTGGTGTCGGAGGTATCGCAGCCGGTGCCTTCATTGGCCATCAACTCGGTATGTTGCTTTTGTGTATATAACATGCGGCAGCGCGTCTAACACATATCAGCCGACGACAGCAGCGACGACGAGAAGCAGCAGTCATATGCGCCTCCAGCGGCGGCTCCCGCAGCTGCTGCAGGCGGCTACGGTGCTGACCCTGGTTACGGTGCTGATCCCGCCTATGGCGCTCCTCCCCCAGCAGACCCTAATGACTATGATAACCACCCGGCCTTTGAGGAGCCCCCTCCCGTTCCCACCCATGACGCCGACGGTGACTCCATCTCAAGTAGTGACCGTGAGTCCATGGAGGAGAAGCGCGAGGAGCTCATCGAGGCGCAGGAGGAGTATCAGGAGGAGCTCGAAGAGAACTACGACGACTAAGCGCAGAACTTTCGTTCGTCGTACGATCGATCGGTGCGTAGGAAAAGGGAGGATTACGAGTGTGACGTCAGGTATTTTCTAAGACTTATGAGCCACGAGTATTGTTAGCATAGTGCAAAGAGGAAGGATCAGCCAACTTGTGATTCTCTCACTCGGATTCAAAGGAAAACGGTTTCAGATTTGTACAAACTAAGGCAATATCACTTAACTCCATCGTCACTGCAGTGACGAACCAGGGCCATTATCCCGTACCTCTTCACCATTGTGCCCCCATCGAAAACCCATGGATATCCGCGCCCTTGCAACGAGAGAACGTAGTGAGCGTGTATTCATCCCTTTCCCTCTAAACCATCGTCTTCACCGTGTCGCATGTTGTGGTGAGCGTGGCTAGCAGCAGTCGCAGCAGTCCAGGCAATCGAGGCAGCATTCGCATGTCTCACCGCAGAGCCAGCAGCAGCACAAGGTCGCAAGACTAGTCGTCGCATTAGCTCCGTTCCTCTTCTTTAACTATGCAACACCTAGCCAGTGTTGCGAAAGGGAAGAAAAGACTCACCAAGCAGTCAGGCATCCCCTCTCCTTCTTTGGTTCCTCTTGTGGCGGCGGTGGTCCTTGTTGGTAGTACATCTAGTTCACGAACTGCGTCAGCCACACCCAGAATCACCGCAAACTTGCAATTGCACATTGTGACAATAGATTAGACTTACCTGTTGCTGAGGCGGCGGATACTGACCATAGCCCGGCTGCGGAGGGCCATAATAGCCAGGTTGTTGGGGAGCAGGGTAGCTCATATTTAATAATTTGGTGTTGTAGACCTGACGTTGGAATAGAGATGCGGGCTCGTGGCTGGTGAAGCGTCTAGCTCGTGGTGTGGCAAGTGAAGAGAGGCTGGTGGTGAGGGTGTGCTGTGGCAGAGGAGTGTGGCAGACGATATGTGTGGCACAGCAAAGTGGAACTTTTAGGGGGACCAACCCGTGTCTTTTAAGATTGCACGTCTTGACGCGCCTGGCTATTGCTTTCGGCAAACGGCAACACCGGATCTGCGAGGTAGAGGGTGCGAGAGGCTATGCACGACCCAACGTGCTCATCGTAATTCACCGCGTCCATGCCGGTATACGTTCCGTACTTTTGGACTGCAGCGGGTGAGCTTTGCTCGGCGCCACATGTGTGGCAGTCAGGGCGCGTAGCTGTGGCATTTGCTCGGGCTTGCTGAGGCATGAGTGGGACCAGGCGAGCCACTGCTGTGACGATGGACGCACGACCCTTGTCATACGCGTGTGCAAAGTCTTGGTATGTAAGGCGCATGACTTGAGAGCGTTTCGTTCTGCGAGCGAAAGATACGATCTACGCTGCTTTGCTACGTGGTGCGGTGTTGCCATCATGTCTGTCCAGAATGCGAGATACAGCAAATTAACAACCCACGTATAGGTTTTCGATACTTCTTACCACTGATCCGGGAAAAGCGTGAGCTGAAATGACCTTTTCGTGAATGGCACATGTGAGGTGCTGTTGGGATGCATATGCGAGCTTGCCGTCTGTTCCGGACGCTAGTGACCAATGTAGCTTAGTTGTGGCGCCACTTTTCAACAGGCAATATTAGACGGGCCAGTCAAGTGGCTCAGTCGTTTGTCCCTTTGGCATGAGAGCAGCGACGAAGCTGGTGCTCTGACGATATCATGCCTACGACATTCCTTCCACGAATCTATTTGTGAAGCCTGATACGAAGACGAAAGCACCGCCAAGAGATCTGAAAGCTGTTGTGGTATTGATGCCAAAGACCTTGGGCGGCGCGGATGCGTCCGGCGCCAAGTCAGCATATACGCCGTCGGCGACCAAGTGGAGAGTGCGGTCCGAAAAGCGATGTTTGTTACTCTGGTTGGGAGCCGGCTTGGCGGTGAAAGGACTTTGAGGGCAGTCAACTAACCAACATGGCGACTTCTTGTGGCGCAGGTGAGGCGCAATCTCGATGCAAGCAATGGGATCCCAGGATTGTCAGTGCCAAACAAACGGGTCGATCCGTATGACAGCTCGTCGTTTCGTACTGTTAGACGACTCGTAGCTTTCAAGGTTGGTAGACAAAGCAGAAGAGCGGCTCGTAGACGTCGTAGTGTGGAACTCGAAAGGGGCGCACATGGATGATCTTTCGCTCGTTTGAACAATTGATACGTTGCGCGGTCGACTCCTTCACAAAAAGTAGCGAAGACTGCCACGATTGACAACCCTTGGGGTTACGGTACGTCGTCACCGGATTCCTATGCTTCCGCTGGCCGAGGCACAAAGCCCCGTTCGGCTCTTCGCTTCTGCACCCATTCGCCGAAGGGTTTCCAGATAGCCTCTTTCTCGGCCGGCTTCAGACTTGCCGCTAGACCGCTCGTACTCGTAGTAACAAAGACCCTGGACCCATTCCATACATTGCCATCGGCATCCTGCTCTTCCTGGCCGTCCTCGCTTTTGCCCATGTTGTGCTCCTCGTCCTGCCACCCATACTTGAAGTCTTTCTTGCCCATGTTCTTGCCATAGCGATACCGCCAGATGGCTTCCCATATACCCTTCCCTACTATACACACAGCCTCTGGCTTGTATTTGAGGAACTTGGCATCCAGTTGTGCCGTACCGGCCGCAGTCTCCTCTTTCGAGAGCTCGGCAGCGTCTTTGGAGGGTCTCTCGACAATATTGGTATTACCCATGCAATACAGAGCGGGGAGACTCCGATCCTCCTCAGGCTTCAGTCGACGGTCGGTAAGTCCTGAGGAGTGGAGCAGCTTCCAGAAAAGGTTCGAGGGATGGGCATAAGCATGCCCTGCAGCGGCCGTCTGAACACCCGGATTCGTGCCAACAAAGACACAGATCAGATAAGGCTCTAGTATGTCGACCAGCGGCGATAGATGCGCGTATTTGGACGGGTCAGCATATTTGCTGGGTTTCCTCTTCTTCTTCGGTCGTGGGGAAGGTTCCGGTGCGATCTTTGCGGCCGCTGTCACAGTAGTCCTAGTGCGCTTTCTAGGTTCTATCGGCGATCCGGGTGGCGGTCCGGTACGTTGCTCCGTCTGCGTTTCTGTGTATTGGAACTTCTTCAGTCGGTCTTGGAAGGATGCAGACGATGGTGTCGCCAGCTGATCATCGGGTTCTCTGACATCGTCATCACTCAGAACTGGTAGAACTGCTTCAGCTTGCTCGCTATACCGCTGGTTCGAGCGTGTGCGGGCCATGCGCGTTACGTTGTGTCTCAAATTTGAGGAGGAATGCGGTCACAGCAAGTCGCGTCCCTTCGAGATCCAGACGCGTTGACGTCATCGGACCCACTTCGCGTAGAGCCAATCGCTACCTGTGCACTCGAACAGCACCCACCGCGACGCAGCCTTCACGAAACCGTTCTCTATGTACGCATGCATTCATTTCGGAAGTATTTACTAATGTACAATTGAGGCATACCCGCTCGTCCTTCTCTTGATACCTTTCATGGCCCTTGGCTGTACCTGGGTCCACCTCTTTGACAACCGTGAGTGTAGAGAAAGCCATACAGTATACATCTTCGTATGTACGCTAGATGGCGATGATGATGCTGTTTTGTCTTGGCGGCATCGTTTCATCAAGCACATTTCAACTAGAACCCCCGGTCCAAAGCTGGTCGCAACAATGTTGTCTCTGCCTTCTCCCATTCGGCGAAGTTTGTCCAACACGATGAGCACAGTCGGGCTGGATGAGTTCCCATAGTTATGATACACGTCGAGGGAAGCTCGGATGTGGTCGTCGTTGAGTTGCAGTGCTTGCTTGGCCCCCTGTAGAATGGTTGCACCGCCAGGATGAATAGCCCAATCGAAGTTGGAAGCAGAACTGCGAGTTACCGATGCAGCGGCGTGAGAAGTATTGAGGGTGGCACGCAGTCGATCGAACAAGGGCAAGATGGCGTCGATGGCTGTGCCTGGAACATGTTTACTGATAGTAGCTATCATGCCTGCTAATATATCAGCATCAACTCAAAGCGACAGAAACGCAACACTGGGCGTTACGGAAACACACCATGCTTCTCGATATCGTACGAGATGTAGCTCGAAGTACCCGGCACGACTACACTGTCCCAATCCTTCAGCTCGAACACTGGCTTTTGCTTGTCTTCCAGCGCGAGACCGTTGCATACTGCTAGCGCCGCTGCGCCATCGGAGAATAGCGCTGGAGCTACGTGCAGCTGGTCGTCTTCACAGGCAGCTTGGACCTCTGCCTGAATAGAGAGACTGCATAGCTCGCACGCCATCACCAGGACGCGGGCGGGTCGTCCTCTTTGTGATGCGGCAGCGGCGATGCTAGCAGCCGCACGAAGCGCTGATAGACCGCCTGCACACCCCACGCCATGAAGTAGCACTCGTTGCACATTTGGACCAAGTCCAAGCTCCTGGCATACAAAGAGATCATAGCCGGGGTTGCTCTGATCAGTGCAAGTCACTGCTACCGTATGCGTTATGTCGCTGGGCTCAAGGCAAGCTTCTCGCATAGCCTTTTTGCACGCAGAGGTAGCAAGCTTTACACCTTCCGTCCGGAATATGCGGGAGACGGAGTCGGCATCCGATGGCGCAGCGTTGTCTTTCGTCCATCCTGCATAGTCGAGGGTAGTTGGGCGGGAGAGGATCTTGGTTTTCTTGTTGAACTGGATGAGCTTCTGGATACTGGTGAGGCTATTAGCATTGGACCAAAATTTTCCATGAAAGACACTGGATGACTGACGCTGGTGAAGTTATCTCGTCAGGGCACAAGCGCTGCAAGAAGTCCTCAAACTGCTCCTGTCTTACCGAATGGGGCGGGTACTCATGGCCCAGGCCAATGATGTATATAGCATCGTTCTTGCTACTGCGTGACATACCGTTCACTGAAGACATCTTCCCCTTGGATCAAAACCAACTGCGACAAGGAGGGCGTAAGCTTATCACTCTCTACTCCCTTACACCCGTCCCGTCACCCCATAGCAGATGCGCTCATCGCACCTACACCCATTCGCGATGTGTAGTCCAGACTCCGCCACTCTTGACTCACCCGTAGCCCGGAGTGCTCAACACATCCATACGAAGACTTGGTCTACCATGGCCTAGCTGAACAACCTTGTGATTTACGGGCTGAAAAGGTCCTCACCGGCCAGTGAGCACTACTTTTGCCTTTAGCGATGTGAAAATAGCCTACCGCTAGCGAGTAAGACATGAGATGGGTGTGATTTCGCTAGATCTGCTGCAGCCTCAGCACACCCGCGAAGACTTGGTATGCCACCAACAAGTTCGACTCGCCAACGAACTGCGGCCTGTTCGGAAGACTTCGAGCCTTGTGGCAGCACGAAACCGGCTTGTATGCCGTCAATAGCACGCCGCTGACGGGGCGAAAATGGTGAAGCCTTAGTGTTCGCGTTCCTGTATTCTGTGCTCTCGCGAAGAAATACCTCATTAGGCATTCAGAAAGGAGTTTTCGACACTTAAAAGTTAAGATTGTCGAAGATCATGTTGCTCCTCCTTTGTTCGATTATCACGCTGTGATCCTGCCGCTGCGTTCGGACATTTTCTTTGTTGAAATATCCCCCCTTGGTAACGCAGCTATGACCAATCATGGAAATGGAAATAGGAAATTATACATAATTTCTCAGGCCTTCATAGGGGGCCTCTGAGATCATTGAGGAACTCCGGTGAGTCGTCTGAGCTTCTCATACGTGAACAAGGCGGGAGAAAGAAGTGCACTAGGCGCTGGCGCTTGCCAAAGTCGCTAGCGAACCTTTCAGTCGACGATGTGTCTATCTCGCCGACCTCCATGGTCCCCAGCAATCGTGTTCGGCCGTGTTGGCGCCTTGATCATCTACCAATAGGTTGATGTGATAACGAAGACCGTCGAGAATGGACTACTGGTTGAGTCCGCATAATACTAGCCCGAAATCTCTCGATCCAAGCGAGCGCCACAAGACTGCCTGACCGGGGCATGCGAAGTGAGGGCCTATCGAACCAGCTAATGCCTCGCGATCTATTGTGAATTCTACCACCGGGAGGGGCGAGTATGCGAACGGGATATGGAGGACGAGGAGGCCCCAGATCTGACAATTGACTCCGGGTCAGTGCCAAGAGATAATGCGACGACACAGATGGTTTGACTACACATGAAGCTAGTGCGTGCCACGTTCGCCCGCCTTGCTTCTAGCAGCTGAAAATCCGTCATTTCTAGCGGTGGTAAGCGTAGTCAGCGTGTACGATCTGGTACTCGTTGAACCGTACGAGCCTCTCCACTGTCAACAACATCGCCAACAAGTCGTGTCACCACCGTCACACGCGATAGAGGGCGGAGTTCACTGTTCGGGGCAGGCTCTAGTACTTTTCCGGCGCGGAGATGATCTCCTTGAACGTCCAGAGACGTGTAGTCGAGGTCGTGGATTAGGATGGGGCCGCAGGATAATTTGAGTTGCAGAAGGATTCGAGCTATAAGCGAAGAGGACGTTCCCGAGAGGGTGTGGGTGTGGAGGACACGATACCCGGTTCGATGTCGAGATAAAGGTGTGGATGAATCCCGGTAACAACGTGGCACGGTCCCCATTTGTAGTGACAGATCTTCATCGCGGTTACTGCTGATGTTGTGATGGATGTTGGTGGAGAAAAGTCGTGACGTGCAGTGCGAGGAGATCTACTCCTGACCAATCGATGGCGGAGATGATGAGAAATGGATTTAGAGGGGTCGTGTTTATCTTCGCGATCGATTGGCGACACATCGTGTGCGGCTTACGGTGTGAGCAGAACGCGATTCAGGGCGTATGTAAGCGCCGTCTTACCTGGATGTGGCACAGCAAACGTATGTCAGATGCCATCAAATGTCGCCGACGGCTAACCTCGACAGAAATGGGGTCCTCGATCAACTGTAATTGTGTGCCATCATCGTGCTTCCCGTTATTGTTGAGCTTGCTGTGCCACATGCGGGGGTTCTGCCAATCCGCGGTCCGAACCGTAGTGGGTGTGCTAAAGTCGTCGGATGGTTCGCATCTGGTATATTGAGCTCTTTCCCGGGAAATGTGTTGGGTCCATCAACGGGCGGAACGCACAAGGACTTCCGGTGTCCATGGATAGGTACCTAAAGAGTGGGGCGTAAGCACGTGACCATAATCACCTTCACACCAATGCACACTTCAGCTCGGCGAAAGCGGCGAAGAGGGGCCAAAGGGATGTGCGTGTAATCCAATGGAGAGGGCTGGGTTGTATGTCAGATGCTTACAATGTGCAACTAATGTTAGAAGGTCTCGCACGAAGCAGGAGCCATTGCGAAGCTGTCGCAGAACCTACATGCATCCGGCGAGCTCGGTGTTTAAGGCGGTCAGTTAGGCCTCAACTCGGGTCATTTCATATCGGCGACTGCGGCGTTGCTTTCGGGCTTATGCTGCGTCTTTGAAGTGATTGCTGCTGTTTTCGCTTCCCACAGGATCCGTGCCATGCGCAATGCTTTCCTAATCCGGATTACTTCGCGTGGCGGCCAGACTAGTGTAGGATGTACCGCGAAAGCACTCGCGAAAAGCATCGTTGCCAGTTAGCACTCACGTGGTTACCTGTGTGCATTTGCGAAGTGGGTTCGAGTTTTGAGCGAGACACCGCTGCTTTGGAGTATATATCCTAGGAACTAGCATGCCATCAAAACATACTTTCCGATAGCGCTGTCGATCACAAAGAAAAACATGATGGTCATGGACAGATTCGACGACGTCTCATACGGATTTGATATGATGCGACAGCAGAATTTTGCATGGAACAGCGAAGTCCTTGTGGAGCAACTTAAGAAGCAGTGAGTGACGAATGCGACTGCGACCCGGTCAGGACTAATTTGCCAGAAACGACAGCCAAAAACCTCGCACACTTCGACTCGAAGAGTTGGCTTCAGACATCTACACACGTCTACCACGTGAGCTCCGCAACCGGGTGTATGCGTTCTGCGTCCAGGGATCCTATGACAACGAAGTCATCGTCCGGCGCACAGCAACCGGAAACGGCCGACGCTTCGCGCACCTCATCCGACAGGCGTGCGGCCAGCATTCCTACCAGTGGATCGAAGACCCCATCGCAGCCTATATGAGTGCAGAAGGTCTGGGTAGTGAGGTTGCCAGAGAATTGCTCGAATGCTACTACTGGACACGTACATTCAAATTTGCCCATCACGAGCTCTTTCTGCTCAAACCGTTTCTTGTAACAGATGGTTTCGGGCTGGGAATGATTCCAGCGCATTACGCAAGACGCTTGCACATACAGATTCGGCCGCTTGACTTTGCGTTTCTGTTGCCGGAGAAGCGGCTGTTTGAAGAGCGACGGTATTGCAAAACCATTGAGGGCCTCGCTGTCATCAAGACCGCTCGAACTGAGGTCGTAATCGAAGTCGATTTAGCGCAAGGGTCTCTGGGAGATGGTGATTACGAGCGCTTCTCCTACGAAGCTGCGCAGTTCATGCTGAAGATAGGGAGTGTGGTAGAAACTCTCAAAGGGACGGGACTGCGCATCAATCTAGCGACCATGTGACCTCGAATCTCAAAGGTCATCCGCATATTTTTGATTTTATGAAGCATATACTTTACATTAGCGTAGGAGTAAATGGGTAATCAGGACGCTTGTGCCTATAGGTGGTGCAGTCTTTTGTATGCTCCTTCTGATATGATCGGTATAATTTTGACCTCTGCGAGAAGTTTTGGTGGCGTGGCCAGGCGTAATTAGGCTTGCCGTGTTTCGTCTCTTATTGCTGCCATGCGATCCGTGGCTAGGCAATAGCTTCCGGCCCGCACAAAGGCCGAAAATGATCCCCGAGCGAGACCATCAATGGATGTCTTTAATTGGACGCTTTTGTGAGCTTCAAGGGATGATAAAGTGAGATGGAAAGCTGGTGTTGGTGAAAGAAGCTTGATGGAAGCTGCGTTGACGTGGGCCGAAGGATACATACGCTAGCCGGCGACAGGGGCCAAAGGATCGCGACTCCTCTCCACCAGCGCAGCTTGGCTTAAGCCACGACGCAACATCGTGACGATCAGCCAATCCCAGTATCTCAACCCAAGAGCCTAGACTGATCGTTTCTTTCTCGCAGATGGGACTGCGCGACAAATGCACGTTTCACGCGCTGTACGTAATTGTCAACTGCTAATGCAACTGCTCCATTATTTGTTGAAACTAGGAGTCCCATATACATACTAGCATCTACAGACCATATATGCTGTCTTTGTCGAAGAACACAAGTACTGCTTCACTACCCCTCACGTTCACTACAGCATTTGTCCCAACCGCTTCAACCACCGCGTTACCCATCGGCTCACCCTGAGGAAATGATTGTCCGGCCCAAGATGTCAAGGAGCTATTCCCAGTGTTTACGAATGGTGCCGTCAATCTCTTTATACCTAAACATCCGTCATCGGAACCCACAGCGCCCGATAGATCAACATGTACCGAGAAGTCATCTGTCGAGTTGGCGTAGAAAGGCTTCATGTTCACGAGTGCTAGCTTCGACAAGTGATCGTCGACGTAGAACGCATATGCAGAAAACGACTCTGGGTCAACGCCAGCAGGTGGCTCGAGAGCGCGAACCCGAGTGTCAGGCACAGCAAAGGCCTCAGCCATGAATAGCTGCGCGAGGAAAGAGGGCAGAGTTCGTGCCGGGCCTCTCAACTCGGTGTCGCGAGGATACAGCATTGAATAAGTGCTGAACCCTGGACTACCGTTAGCACCAGGCGTGTTGAGCTGTTCGTCCGACTGGAGGGCAAGCGTAGCACCCTGATGTAGATGCGTGGAACTGGCATTTCTTGTCGCGTAGATCAGCTCGCTATCAATGACCCAGAGTGCTTGCGCAAATGTATCGGTAACGTTTGGTGCTCCAGAGCAAGAGACGGAGTTGAACTCGCCAATGTTCCAGTTGTTTCCGGCATCGAGGGCAGCGCGGGCAGACGGGTAAATTTCTTCATCGCAGTAGCGTGTGAGCTCGGTATGATTGAGGATGTTTTCGATGGTGGCCAAAGCGGCGCGTTCTGGATCGCAGGTTGAGAAGGCATACGAGTGTATCGAATATATGCCAACCTGATCTTCTGAGTCGATTCCCGCTGGTATGAGCGCAGCGGGACGGACTTCAAGGCCTGAATCGTCGGTCGTGGCGGATGATGCCCACCAGCGTTCTTGGGGAAGATCTGAACTGTTTAAAGCATACAGCGCGGTATCGATGCTAGCCGTGTACTGTTTCCATTGCTGCACATAGGCCGCCGTCGAGTCATTCCACCGACTCTCGTCGTAGTTGGTCGGCTCGTTACCAAGTTCAAGGTACGCGACCTTGTCGGATTGATAGGTAAGCGATGCGACTGCAAGGCCTGTAGAGATTTCCAAACTCTCATTACCGAAGTTGAGAGTTGAGATGAACCTGGTGCCATTGGGGAAATTACTCCAACTCTTGTAGTAGTCAGGTCCAACAGTGGTCCGCCATACGCCGCCTTCCGGACTAGTGGTACGCACCACATCGCTACCGTCAGCGTCGAATATCATGCTGTCCATGGTGATGCCGCCAGGTCGTATGACAGGACTTCCACCATGCTCATGGATTCTGTTCAAGACATTGAAAGTAAGGTTGTTGGGAGTACTAGCATTACCGAAGAATTCAACCCAGAAAGCAGGTTCGAACGAGAATGAGGCAAAGGAGTTGCTATGTGGTATCGAAGCACCTTCTGCTGTCTTTGGTACGCTCAGACATGCGGCTCCGGAATAGTCTGTGGTTGGGTATGCGTGGACAGCAGAGGCTGCAAGGGAAATGGCGGCGACTCTGAGTGAGGCCATTATGGGAGTATTGAGATCGTTGGTGGTTTATGGAAGGAGCTGTCCATATTCCCATGGCTATCCGAGCTTCATATGCCATCGGAAGCTATGACAGAAAGCGTATCGACATCATCGTGCCTCTCTTTCTAGGCTAAAGCGGACGCGATTATTCCGACGGCCGCGAGATGTTCCATTGAGTTGTCGGAAAGGTTGCTGAAATGGTCCTAGAAGATGTGGGGAGGCTGCGGGGAATTGGCGGATCGTCAGGCTCGCTCCATAGCGGGGGCAAAAGTCGGGTTTAGCAACAAAGGGCTAAAACCATAGCACTAATCACCCGCTCATGAACCTGCGATACATCCTGATAGAGACCGAGTTCGCTAGTGCACAGGGATCTTCTATCCTGTTTTTCTAATCTGCCATTATTAAACCATGTAATCAGCTCGACATTCTGAGTATAATCACCAGGCAGCGGAGCATGGTAGACAAAGTCGAGAAGCGCGTTCTTGCTTCTTGCTGTATCCATAGAACGGAGATTAAAAGCCGTGGATTGGTAACAGATATCGATCGGCTCGGATTAGTACTATTTCGTACCCACGGCACCGTGCGGCACACCCGTCCTTCTCCGCATCATGACCTCACCCATTGCATTCCTCACCTCCTTCTCTTGATGCACCACATTCTGCACCATGTACTTCTTAAGTGCTTCCCTCAGCTCGCCCTTTGCCCTCTCGTTATCCCTATATGGTACGCTTTCCAGCTCCAGCAGTCTGTTCGCATCCTTATTGCTCTCCGCAACAAGCGCGCTGAGACGATCAAGCTGCTTGTGGCGAGTGTCTTCGGTATCGTCGTTGGCTTTAGCGGCATGTTGAGGGTCGCTTCGGTAAAGTGGCATGAGCAGACCGAGAAACTGCGTAAGGGATATCGCAGCTTTCTTCAATATGGTGATGATTTGAAAGGGTAGGTATGGGGGACGGAGGTTGGTTCTTGCGACGAACGGGTTCAGATATTTCGAGAGAAAGGTGGGGTAATCTGGACGAAGAGCGGTGCGGATTTCGAAAGTCGCAACAGCGAGAAGTCCTAGGTAGCGCCAGTAGGACCCGTCTGTTAGGAAGCCAAGGGCGTTTGCGCCTACTAGAATGATGAAGAGTACGCCGTAGGTAGTAGCGGTAGTGAGCAGCGCGCTGTCTGTGTAGTCCTTGATAGTCAAGCAACTCTGACATTGCGCAAAGATGCTTGGCCCGAAGCGGTCATATGCGAATCGCTTCACAGGATCCATTATAATATCTTTGGCTCGCTTCAGATGAACATAGAAGTCATTTGCCCTCTCCCTATCCACGTTCGGCCCAATCTTATCTGGGTGGTATCGGATCGTCAACCTCCGGAATCGCGTATTGAGTGTGCTCTCGTCGACGTCTAGTGGTACACCAAGGTCGTTGTATACATTGCTAGAGCGCTGCAAGTTGAAGTCGACTTCGTAAATGGTGAAGGCGAAGTAAGCGGCGTAGATGGCGATCAAGATGTTGCGGCGGTGCTTTATGAAGCGCGGAGTGCCGGGCTGCGGTTTCGGGTCGCCAGCGCGAATGAAGATGCTGTAGAGAATGGACTGGGCCCATCCCGCTGCCTGTGTCGCGTTAGATATTGCCGTGCCGCAGGTGTGAGGGCTAGCTTACGACAGGAATGAGAAACTGCCACACTAGGAAAGGACCCAGAGTGTCAAATGACACGTTCGATATCGCCATAGTGCTCGGTCACTGGCGTGGGAACATGAGGACGCAAGGTCGAAGTATCGAAGAGTGGAATGGAAGCCAAGTGTCATCGAGGCGCGCATTCGGAACGTTCCGAGCACTACCGAGGCACGTGCGTTCGCCGCAGCACCTTGAAGTCCCGACAGAACTACATGGTCTTATGAGGTGTGCCACACATACACAACAATTGTTTTGGTAGGATACATCTGATTTTGCGGAAATGTTGACTCATTGGGTGATTTGTATTGACTGATACAAAAAGCCTGACAGCATTCAAGCACTATGGGTAAGGTTGCTCCCGTGTTATGACGGGTCACCTTCAACACTAGCGAAAAGAAGATTGCGCCTTCGACTTGAGACAGAAGTCTGTAATTAGCTCGGACTGTCAGGGAAGTTACACTTTGATATGCATGGTGGCTTGCGATACCTATGTGATTTCTCAAGGTTGAGTCCAGCGATCTCACACTCACCCACTCATCTACAACACGCACACAACCATTGTGCACGTCTCTTCACAGCCAGCGAAAGATACCATAAAGCCCGCGGACTCTTAGCAAAATGACCACTGCCAGCGATATCGACAAGTCCTTCACCAAGGCGTTGAACGAAGCAGGCGAACTCTACAACAACGACCGCCTGGACGAGTGTATCGAAAAGACCCGCGCCCTTCTCGCCGACGACGCTATACCACGATACCACCGTATGAAAGCGCTCCTCTTGTTGGCTTCAACACTGGGCAACTGGTTAGACGCGAGTAACTGTCACGCGGAGGCAGAGACGCTGTGGCGTGTGGTCAGGCGCTGGAACCCAGAGGGCGAGGACGCTGTGCTCGATAGGCACATGGACGATGTGCGCGAACATTTAGATGAAGTGGGTGCTGCTTTGGAACGGACTGAGCCTGAGGACTACTTCGAAGATGACGTGGATGACGACGGCACGGCGCACGAGGTAAGCTCTTGCTATACGAAGTGCATGTGAGAGATATACTGACCTCGTGCGTCTCCTTCTGCAGGAGCAAGTGAATGATGAGACTGCCGCCATGGAGACCCTTGAACTGCCCCACGATGAGATGGAAGTTGAACCGCCTGTCGGTGTCCCCGCTATCGAGGTTGCTGCGATTGCTGGCGGTGTTGCCGCTATCAAGATTGCTGCGCCTGCCGAAGGCGGAAGTGGAACTGCAGATGATGCTGAACCTCAGGCTCCTCAGGGCCAAGGATGAAAATGTATGCCCGGACCTTTGTCAAATTTCTATTCCACTGCTTCACTGCTACCTTAATTCCCTGCTTACTGTATCGCAGTCTTGAAACCTGGCGCTGCGCATCGATGCTGGTCTTGCAAATGCTCAATCGTGGTCGTCGGCCTCACCTGCGCTGAGTCCGAACACGCCAGCATGGCAGCCGACTGCTACTTGTCAGCTTTCCTCCTCAAGCCCGCCTGCATCTAAGTAGGAGATATTGTACTGACGGTTCATCAGGGCGTGCGCGTTCAAGGGTTGATGAGACATAATGTAGTGAGAAAAGTCATAGATTTCTATGGTTGACGACATCTGTCGATCAATGGTATAAAACGATGCTATGCAATTAGAAACAAAACGAAACTCGCGCATTCCTTAAGACATGCGACGTAGCAAATTCCTCCATGCATCTCAAGCCTAGATGGGTGACGTTTGTGCGTCGGGTATAGTTCCTCCAGGCATTATGCATAACAAGTAACGACTCAACGATACCGTAGCGCACACAGCGCGCTCATTCGCAATCATGTACGACCAGCGCTCGTATCTTCGTCTTGCAACATTTCAGATCTTACATCTGACCTCCGGCCTGAGGCATCAGCTCCTCGTCTTGCTGACGCTTCTCCTTGAGCGATCCAGCAGCCGAGCGGTTCTCGACGTCGCTGTCGGAGAGGTCGTACTGGCGAACGGCTTCGGCGATCTGAGCCTCGTCCATCTTGGGGAGCTGCTTGGCGGCTTGCACGTAACTCATCTTCTCGGTGTAACCCTTGGCGAAGATGAGGTCAATTTCCTCGAGGGAACGACCAGCAGTCTCAGGGTAGAAGAAGTAGATGACGGGAATGAAGGAGGCGTTCAGAGCAGCGAAGAGGAGGTAGGTTCCCCATCCGATGTTGGTGATCAAAACGGGGGTAATCATGACAATGAAGAAGTTCCATAGCCCTGTTAGGATATTAGCAATTGTCTCAGGTGTCTAATTGTACGGGAAAACTTAAAGTTGTTGATCGTCGAAAAAGCATTGGCCTTCTGGCGGGTCTTGAGAGGGTTGATCTCAGCTGGGTACAACCAGGGAAGTGGGAGCCACGTGACACCGAAGAAGGCGATGTACAAGAACAGACCGACGGCGGCACCCTTGGCAGGTCCCTCGTTGTCCTCGTTCTCCACGCCACCGGGGAGCAGGCAGGCAAAGGTGATGATCATGGCAGTCATCTGACCGACGGTACCGATGAGGTACAACTTTCTGCGGCCGACACGCTCAACGAAGTAGAAAGAGGTAGCGGCGAACATGGCGTAAACGATCATGTTGACACCTCCGAGAAGAAGGGCGAGGTTGTGGTCGGTGTTCAAGGCGCTCTGGCACAGAATAGGGAAGTAGTAGATGACAGCGTTGCAACCGGACAATTGTTGCATGAATTGCGAGGAAGCGCCGAGGATAGCACGACGGAAGTGCTGGGACTTGCCACCGGTAAGAAGAGCCTTGGTAGGGACCTTGCCGCCACCACCAGATGCGCTGACTGCATCGCGAATGACTTGCATCTGGACAATGACCTCTTGGTCGTCGCGGGCAACACCGTTGAGACCAGCCAGTACAGTAGCGGCTTCGTCTTCGTGATGGTGGTTGAGGAGCCATCGAGGAGATTCGGGTAGCGAAATCATCATAACGATGACGATCATGGCGAAAACACACTGGAAAGCAATGGGGAATCTCCAGGTGAAGTCATCGGGACCGTAGAGACAGCCGTAGTCGATCCAGTAGGCGATGAGCGTACCAATGGCAACCATGGAACCCTCGATGCAAATAACCTTACCGCGGTTCTTGGCCTTGCAGCACCTAGAAATTGTTAATAATCGTTTGGAGGAGCAAATGTTGGAATGACGTACTCAGCTTGGTAGGTGGGAATGGTAGAAGTGTTGATACCGTTTCCAACACCAGTAATGCATCGTCCGACGATGAACTGGGCGGTAGCGCCACTGTTGGGAGGGACGCAGGCAATCTGAATGATGACACCGACGATCATAACTCCGGCACCCAGGAAGATACTCTTGCGGCGTCCAAGCTTGTCACCAAAGATGAAGACGAAGATGGCACCAAGCAGACAACCGACGGCATAGATGGAGACGACGAAACCCTCGTAGGTAGAGTCATCCTTGACTTCAGGGAACGCATCTTGGAAGGCGGGAGCAGAGATGATTCCACTCATGACACCCTGGTCATAACCGAAGAGTAGGAAGTCGGTAACAGCAACGATGGTGATGAGAACCTGGAGGGCCCTGCCGGACTTGCCCCAGTAGGTGGGAACACCATTTTCGGACTCCTTGATACGTGGCGGCATGGTTGCGTTGTATCGATGGAAACTGGAGAGGAGTGAGGAGATGCTGGGGAGGAAAGATCCGTGGGGAGAGAGTAGAGCTTTAAATGATCATCGTCCGTTGCGTACAAGGGTGTTCGGCAGAAACGTGGTTACTGGTCGTCTACCCTCGGCCCACTAAAAGATACGCTACCAAGATTCCGACTGACGCGTGGAGAAAACTAGATAACGATTTTTTTCCAACATCTTGGCCTTGGCTGGTGTAGCAGTATGCGAGCCTGAGGTGCGGGCGGTAGAGGCGCAAATAAACTGTGGATACAAAGGCGAACCTAACAGGGTCTGTTGGTGGAGCAAGCCATCTTGGGCCAATCTTGGAGAAGAGCGGAGGACGCTTGCAGTCCAACAAGCGCGCTCGGCACAGCATGTCTCTGCTCCTAGCCCGAGGTTACCTCCACATTACGTCATGTGCGCAGGGCTTGGGGTCAGCCTGGGGAAGACGCAGGTGAAACGATTGGTGAACGACGGGTTCGCCAGTCAGCACAGAAGGCTGGGAGAAGTTTCTTCGCCGCCTACGCCACCCGCAACCGCCTGTCAAAATCTACGGTACGCATGTCAAGATGATGCAGGAAGTTCGTCGTCGACTAGGACACCGGTGTAGGTCAAAGGCACCATCTCGGGCTACATGCCGCCGTGTACGGATAGCGTGCTAATTCCTCCCATAAGGCACGGTTTCAGTCTCAACAAGAGGGCGCTTGACGTCATGCACCGGCGACTCGCGTCCGTCCCCATGCAGGGTCTGACCAACCGTGCGCATGCGGCTCTGCAGCCTTTGCAGCTTGGCCGATGATCTTAACTAATAGAGACTGCAGTTGGTGGAGCTTGAACACGCCATGTGCTGCAACGGTGACGATGGTTGCTGTGATGGTCGATGGTCGGCTGTACTTCCTGGGATGGAGTGCAGCAACGTCGGGCGGCACTGCCGGCCGGGAGACGATTCGACGCACGTGATAGCGGCATCTCTCGAGACATTCAGATTAAGTTGCTATACAGCCGAGGATTTGCCCAGGCTTTCGGGAGCGCACTTGGTTTGCTGACACTCCTCCTACATATTCCCGCCGTGCGGTCGATCAGCTTGGTCGCGCCGTGGATGCTGCTCGGCAGGCGCGGTCGCGCTTTCTGCCATGGCGGGACAAATTGCCAATGCATGCTTGGTAGTCGGGAGAGGCTCGTGTGGAGTTCGCAAAGCCTAGCGTGGGGATGAGGCTGACATGTGCACCGTCTTGCAGATCTCGGGCCTTCCTGTTTCGGGACATCCGGGCGCATTTCACTGACCCAACTCCTTTCTCGTCACGCAGGCAGGAGTAAACAGCGGCAGCAACACCACCGAAAGCAGTCCTCGCAGCCTACGAGAGTGCTCCATACCGACAAGTCTACCCCAGGACCCAGCTAAACTGCGCCGATCTCTCCAGTACCCCATCAATCCGCCCCAAATTATGCTCCCGCAAGCATTCCACATGCCGGAAAAGACGGCTCCCATATCGTGTGCTAAAACACACCAAACGCCCCAACGACGTGGTAACTCCACATATAACAGCCAACCCCAATTTTATGTCGCTTTCGGGGCCTACTACACCGCACTCTCGCTCAAGTCCCTGCCAAGCGGCACACACTCCAGTCTGTCACCGGAACCGCCGTCTAATGTCGGGGTCTCCGCTTTATGCAAATGCCGTATTGATAATCACACTGATAATCACACTCCACTTTTCCATCACTCCCTCCAACGCAGGGTCGTTGCAAAATCCGCCAATTACTGTTGAATATGCATCATCGTCGTGACGGACCTCCACCGAGTTGCTGTTTTGATCCCACTTGGTTACCATCGTCGACCCCATTGCCAGGACTCTGGGACTGGGGAAAACGGCGGAGATCAAATTCAAGAACGTTTTGCTACGATCCCTAGCTCTTGCGTCTCGGTTCGATGCGAAGGTCATGTTGACAGATCCACTGTATTTCAGCCGCATAAAGGCGTCCTACTGCCCCGACTGATTCGACCTCCGACTTGCCATCGGAGCGAATTAGTCAACCCGATCCCAAGACCTAACCTCCGTACCAAGGATGCTGCCAATGTCCGATAAATCCATCCGATGTCCCAAGATAGTGTGGGGATCCCACCATCTCCAGGATCTACTCCTCCTCAACAGTCATGTGTCCCACCATCGCTAAAGTCGCCAGGTCCCTCGTGCATTGCCCAGGTCGTCGCCAATGCTAGTCGCAGAACAGCGGGCCCACGGACGGACTAGAGTTGGGTCTGGGGGCCTTTCATCTCTGGAGTCGGTCGTCAGTCGTTTTCCCGTCTATTGAACCGAGGCGGCTCCTCGGTGTAGCTGTTGCGTCTCTTCTTACCCCTGGAAGAACACCCCTTTGGGTCTAAGGATTTCCAAAGTTGCTCACATTTCCGATCTGCTTCATTCTACCTGCGAAGTCCTCTCTTCCTTGACTTCACGCCAGGCCGCTTCCTTTGTTATCGAGATTGCACGGTAGGAGCATGTTCGAGCTCTTTGCTTTTTCAGTGCGATAACGGGTACTTCTGGAGTCATTAATTTCCGTCCTGTTGTTTGAGTTTTCGTACTGCGCCAGCTGGAACTTGCGAGCAAACGAGCTGTAGCACTCTCATCACGGGCGGGCGGTATCTCCGAGGATTTTGAGTGTAGCGGCATGTGATTCAGCACCATTCGCGTGGACCACGCATGAGGCTCATCCAGACGTGACCTCGGGCGAGCTGTCAGAAGTGTGACACTGTTGTGATGGCGGGCCGCAATTACCAGCGACGCACAGTCCAGTAGAACAGATTAGTATGACCACCCACCAGTGTTCATTACACATTGCTACCGTTTTGATGGAAATAGTTTCAGAGGTGGAGTTGGCAAGCTCGCCGCACGATGAGGCATGCGCGCACGGATCACGTCATGTGTTAGCGTGTCTTTCGACGCGTCGCGGGCACGTAAGCACTCCACTCCCACGACCTCAACACCGCAACTGGCATATTTCATTTCACGCGTGGAAGATCTACAGCTATAGCCCTCCGAAGGCTTCGGTCGCACATCGTTTTGATTCACCCGGGAGATCCTCGTCCGTAATTGCGCAGCTCCATTGGGCGCCTAGGCACCATCAACTGCGCACCCTGGGTTTGGCCGCTACCCAACCATACCATCTCGGCTTAGTAAACATCATTTGTTCTCATCATCATGGCGCGCAGAATGTCCCCAGAAGAGTACCAGGCGATTGGGCGCAGCTACTATAAGCTGAAACAATACGAGAAAGCCTTGGAAACCTTTTCGAAAGGTATTGAGGCTTGTCCAACCGCGGATCTGTACGATCATCGGGCTGCGACGTACGACAAGCTTGGAAACCTCAACGCCGCCGTCAAAGATGGCAGAGAGATGATCAGACTGAACAAGAAAGATGTCAAAGGCTACTTACGCACGGCGAGTATTCTGGAGAAGTTGGAGAAACCTGAGACGGCGCTTGGGATTTACAAGTACGGAATGAAGAATGTGCCACCTAGCGACAAGAACTTCAAGGTATGTGATGTATTATATGTCCTGTTATGAGGACACATCTTCCACTCTGTCTTTTGCATGGATTACTGACTGGCGATAGCTCTTGCAACAACTCCACGACAAGTCCACTCGAAAACTATCACCTGCATCCGCTATCGATCCGTTTACAGTGCTGCCCGCTGAGCTAGCGGAAATGGTACTAGAGTATTGCTCTTTCCGCCACATGGTCAACTGCATGCGCGTCAGCCCGGGATGGAGGGACTATCTCTCCAAGTTACCTAAGCTTTGGATGCATCTCGATCTCTCCGGTGCCCGCAGACCAGTCCCTCGTTCTTTCGTCAATACAGCCTTCAAGCGCTCGGAATACCGAATGACGCGCGTCACGATCCATCGTTTCGAACATATGGACGTACTGAAGAATCTTGCGAAAGCAGCGAAGGACCTTACAGAACTAGAGCTCATCTCCTTGCCACACACCATGTCAGCCACACTGATTGACATTGTCAAAAGCGCTCCAAAGCTGAAGAAGTTCACGATACATCCAGAGATCACACAAGATACTGCAGTGCAGATAATGCATGCGAGGCCTGTACTGGAACACGTGGTCTTCGGCGCCTTGAGGTCCGCCGGAGCCGCCACTAACTGGACAACTTCATTTGGGAATCTCCGCACACTCGGCATGCATTGGTCGTCCCCCGTCTGGACGGTGGATCTCAGGCTACAGGACCTCTTGGCTCAAACGCCATGCCTTGAATCCTTAGCACTCTCCAACGTAACAAATTTTGAGTTCCCCCCACAAGGATGGCCCCTAGACAAAGCTCAATTACCACCACTGAAAAGCCTGGTGTTGAAGCGGATGAACCTCCTGAAGTTGCCTCTTCTCCCGCCCACGCTACAGCGACTGGTCATCGAAAACGACAGTGGTGGATTGGACCTACAGCAAGTCCTGCCCTTGAACCAGTGCTGTGTCCCAGAGCTCACACACCTAGCCATATCTGGTTTCAAAGGCCTGGACCCCAAAACACTAAGACACCTACTAGATGTCTGTTTCCACGAAAGTGAAACGGCAACATGCTCAACACGAAAACCTTTGCAATCGTTAACCCTGCACGGCCTAATCGATTGTATTTCAGATGACATGTTCGGGCGCGGGCCTTCTGCGCAAATGGAGTCCATATTCGGCTTTTCCCCACGCGTCCTCACGCCCGCGTTGGAGTCCCTGGATATTGCCACAACGCTCTGCAATGACGATGAGATAGAGAGACTCCTCATGTACCCGACGGGACTCAGGACAATCGACCTCTCGCATACCCATATCACTGGGGCGTCCATCAAGATGCTGGCAGACAAACTTCCGAAGCTGACGAGTATCAAGGCGAATCAGTGTGCTAACATTAATGGGCGCGATGCGATCAACTACGCGGAGCGAAAGGGGATATCAGTGAGTTGTCAGATGGCTGAGCA